CACACACACACACACACACACACACACACACACACACACACACACACACACACAAACAGGGAGCGGGAGGGAGCGAGGGGAGACTCGGCGCCCTCCCTCCCTCCGCGCACACGGCGACTGCGGGCGGACGGCGAGCAGCGCGCTGGGAGAGCAGAGACCACCGAGAGCAGCCGCTCGCACACACACCCACAGCGGCTCCTCTCCCCACCTCCTCCTCCTCCACCCCCACCACTAACACCATCTCCTCCTCCTCCTCTCTGCAACAAGAAAAAAAAGCCATTTACAGGTATTTTTTTTTTGATCTGCATATTTATTTATCCCCCCCACAGTTTGTTTACAAGTATTAAAGTTGTAATGGGGAGCTGCCAAGACACATCTGGATTTGTGTTTCTTTGTGTTAGGGGGTGATGTGCAACTAATTAAAGGCAGACTGGCAGCGTCTGCAAATTCTAAGGCTCCCCAAATAAAAAGAGACTGGTAAGTGATTGTTCTTTCTCTTTCTCTGGCTTTTTTCTCTTAAATGTTTGCTGTCCGTTGGGATTGTAAAAGTAGATTATTAATGATGGACTCCAGCAATAAAAGGCGTCGCTGTATTAATTTATTAATTAATCTGCACCGCCCCTCCTCCTGAATGTTAAATATGACCTTTGATCTCTGTGTCTCTGGTAGACCAGACGTACAATATTAGGCATGTACAGTCACATTGTCTGCAGGCAAACCAGGATCATGAAGTATGGACGTCTAATTTAGCTTTGGAATAGGACTATAGTTATTTGTGTGTGTTTTATTTTGTCTTTTAAAGAAAATCCAAACAATAGCTGTGGCCTAGGTACCTGGTTCATGCTCCAGAGAAGCATTGATTAAACAATAATGACCTGGATACTGGACACAATCATTTTCTACAGTTTCTGGTGGCATTAAACCTTGAGGGAGGAAGGGGGAGGTGATGGCAATAAGAAAAGCAAGGAAAGCTTCTGTCTGGAAACACCACTCTAATACTCTGAAAAGGGACATAAATTCTTTCTTTATTTGGAACAAGGTCAAAAGATTACAATGTTGAAATTTTTCCCTGCACTCAGTGTGATGACTCTTAATGCATGGTTGGGGTAACTAGTTTTTACTGAGTAGCAGTTATGATGGTCTTGCAGTTACAATGTGATTCGCAGAAACTGAAGCTATATGCATATTCTTGCTGTATCTTCCCCCTCCCCCTCCCGAGCATCAAGAATATTTAGCGGGGAGCATTTTGGGGGCACCCTTTGTATTGCCACTAGACCTCTGAGGGAGCAGTTTTCCCTCCTGCGAACCACAGAGGAGGCTCCTGAGTGATTAGGGACTGGCTGTGATTGAAAGGTGCCTGCCAGCTTCTAATCCAGCCTGGGGTGAGGTTCCTTATCTTGATTTACTGTGCCTAATAGGCATTTGTTTACATAAACCCCTCTTCTTAGGGCACCTCATCAGCAGGTCTTGAAGTTTCTGCACTTGGAGTTTGGGCATAAATGGTTCATTAATCTAATTATAAGCATAATTACGATAATTGATATCCATTTTGAAATGAATATTTGAGACTACTAGGCCCCCATTTAGAAGCCCCTGAACTCCACATTCTAGACCAATATGTGGGCTTCAAAAGATGTCACAAAAAGATATTCTGGCCCCAAAAAATCTGGAAACAAAGAAACTGGTTTTTTAGGTTAATATACACTTTATGTCTTTGCTTTACTTCTTAAAAGGCTGTGATGTACCTCTCCCTCTGTAATAAACAACTAAAATACCCCTTCCTAAAGCATAATAATGGCCTGTAAGCAAAGGGATGAATGCAAATACCCAGTTAACATTAGACTTTCGTCCTAAAAAGAGCAAAAGAAAAAAATCGTTTTAATGATTATTTCTTCAGGTAAACAGCACCTTAAGGGACCCCCTCCCCCTTTTATTCAATGTAAAAACAAGTGACTATGAAAGATCCTTAAAAAAAATAAACTCCATGCTTTCCTCTTGTTTGGGGACGAGACAGGAGTCTCCATTAGGAATTACTGGGAATATTCTTACAGAGGCTGCAGGCACTTGGTTTAAAACCTGTAACATTGTAGTATTTAAAAAATTTTTTATCTAGTCCATCTTTCTTTCTTTTAAACAAGAACACCACCCTCTGGCCCCCACCAAGCCCCACCACCAAATGGCTTGTCCAATTGAGACCTGTCCTTGGTCCATTGAATTAAGACCCTAACAGAGCCAGCTGTGCCGGGATCCACACTAATGACCGCAGACACAGAAGGACACTGTGGCAGCTGGTCGTTCTTTTCTCCCTGCTCTTTAGTTGGGATTGTCTGTGGGCCGCGCTCAGCTCTCGGTGGTATTGTGTGTGCTTGCAGTTTATCCTCGGATGTATTGTGGACTTTCTCAGGACTTCATTTGCTAATTTCCTGTTCATTTTCCTCATAGGGCCATTGCTATTCCCACTTTGCAGTATTTGCATGCCCGGGCAGCACTTGCTCACACATTTCATAATGTTTAGCTGCCCTCTGCGATCAGTGGTATCGCCCTCGAACCCCTGATTTGCATGTCTTTAGCGTTCCAACTGCCCTTTTCGCTCGGCCTCGGGCACCCCGTCTTTCCTCTTTCCCCGGGTATCCCGGCTATTAATACATTTTCTCAGGAGGGCTATAAGAATAGGGGGAGGAGCTGTGGGGAGCCGTGGGAGGGAGGGAGCGGGGCTGGAGCGTGGGGGGAGGGAAGGGGGTCACGTCTGGATTGTTATGCAAACGAGCCGAGGAAGAATGTGGGAGCTCTCGGCGTCTGCGGGGGGGACTGCGGAGGCTGTTTATTTGTAATCTTCTTCCTCGTGCAGCTCGTTGGAATGACTTTCTTTATTTTAGTTGTAACAGTTGGAGGATAATGCAAAAGAAGACGCAGCCTGGGAATTCTCCGTCTGTGGAAATGCGCCCCAGAGAGGAATAAAACACTCCTCGCCTTGCGGTCCCCCCGGGACCCGCCCCCTCCCGCCTCGCCCCCACACCATCGCCCCCTCCCCGCCCCGCCCCCACCCAGGTGTCGGCCCGGGCGGTACCCACCTCCACCCTGCACCCCTTCTTCCCGCCCTGCGCCATGAACACCAACGTCTGCGTGGAGCCCGGGCCGAGCCCGGAGGCGCCGGGCCTCCCCAAGGACAGCCACCTGCCCGAGGGGGCCCTCAACAGCCTTGTGGATTACAACTCGGAGATGGAGCGCTACCGCTCCTTCGCCAGCTCCTTCTACAAGACGGGCGGGGGCGCCTTCCCGCAGGCCGCCAAGATTGCGCGCATCACCACCCCCATCTTCCCAGGCAGCGCCGCCGCCGCCGCGGCCGCCGCGCGCATCGGCATGTCCCCCT